AAGAGATTTTTAAAATAATAAAGTATTAAATATTTGGTTTGCCAGGGAGATGGCTCAGTGGACTAAGCGCTTCCCTGGCAAGCGCAAGGGCCTGAGTTTAATCCCTGGTTCAGCAAAAAAATAGATAAATAAATAAATAAATTTTAAAAAACAAAAAAATTTGGTTTGTGATTATTTTATATATAAAACCAACCCAGGCATCATAGGCCATAAATTACTACATTATTGTATCATAGTTTCTGTGTAGTCTCCAAAGTCATTATAAAAATAAGAAATGTAATATTTATAAATTAAAAATTACAAAGGCAATCAAAAATTTTGTAGAGGAGCTTCTAAAACAGTCAAAACATGGTCTGCCTACTAATATTACAAGTAATCACTAATTTACACCCACAAATAGAATTCCATGCGTACTGATGCAAGCTTTTAAAATGCTGACATTTTTAAGAAAGAGAATAAAAATAGTTCAAAAAAATTAGAAATGATACAGAATTTCACTAAACGAAATGATAGGAATTCAACACTGTTTGGCATATTGCACATTGCCATCCTCAAGTTAGCTGCTTAGACCACCAAATATAAGCATGCAACACTGGTCCAAAAAGAAAAAAAAAATAAGCATTAACTGTTCCTTTCAACAGACCAGCAGAAATCCGTAGTATGGCTAGCCAACATATCCTTTGTATATAACCTGTATATTTTTTTCCTTTCCTTCTTTCTTTTCTCCTTTCCCTCATCCCAGCTGTCCGTTCCCTAATCCGAAAGGTACAATAGATACCACGAAAAGGAACATGTTGACATTTGCCCCACATGAAAACAGCACTGTGAATGGGTTAGGGTTATAACTATTCCTTCCTGCCTGCAGATTTGGATAATAAATATAAATAAGTATGACAGCAGACACAGATTGATCTGCCATCCAAGGAGCGTGTCTCCCCTGAGGCTAGGGGTGCAGGGAAAATCTGCCTATCACCAAGTCCAGTGCCAGAATGGGGCAGAGAGGGGCGGGACCTAAGAGCCCAAGGGACTCCTACGGGAAGATAAAAGTCTCCAGCATGCTCAACTCCAGTGGGAAGCATCTTAATTGCAGTATCTTTAACCACAGGACAATTCTGAGGGGCACAGCCCAAGCAGTGATTGAGTTCCCTATAAGGGGGGCCAGACAGATGGCTCAGTAGAGTAAGCACTTGTCTGCTAAGTGCAAGGGTCTGAGTTCAATCCCCAGTTCCAAAAGGAATCCCGTGTAAGGGCAACTGGCTTTAGTAGGTTACTTACAACAAATCAGACTCAAATCAGGGGTTGCTCTTTGTCACTTACCCTTCCATTTGTTCATTTATTCTTTTATTCAGTGATCACTGAACTTGTCATTTAATCTGCCCTTTGCTAGGCACTGTGAATACAAAGCTGAATTCATAGCAGAGCACAGGACCACGAGCCTGTCATCGCATTCCCAAGGCTGAGGCAGGAAGGTGCAGGAACCCAGTAGGTGCGGCTTAGCAGCACCGGGAGACCCCACCTCAAATTAAAAAGTAAAGTGTTGGGTGTATCTCAGTGGGAAGGCCCTGGGTTCATTCCAAGCTACAAGAAGAAAAGAAATTCGTTCCCACAAAATCCCAAGTTGCTGTTTAAGAATTCTGTTGGCCTTGCAGGGAGACCTTTGTGGCTGTGTATTTAGAACAAGTCTAGAAAGGCAAGCGGAAGTCAGGGCAGTGGAACCTCCGAGACAACGCAAGACTGTTGAGCACAGTAGCAGAAGCTCAGCATCAACTTTTCCCTTTTTATAGCAAAACAGGAAATCCAGTTACATTTCCTACGAGGAAAACGCATGCTCAGCACGTATTTACTGAAAAGTCCAATGGTATGGAAATGCAGAGCAGGAAATCACTGAAGTACACCATCATTCAATTTATACATGGCTTCTCCCTGGAGAGGGGAGACTGGGGCAGGGCAAAGCTGGCTGGGGAGGAGGGCATGGATTGTTCATTACAAAATTGGAGGACACATGCGCAGCACAGACCTAAATGCCTCCACAAGGATTTCTCTCTAGCAGGCTTCTCATAGGACATCCTAGACCTGCCTGCAGCCTGACACATGGGTGACACAAAGAGTACAGTCCACACCGGGCTTTTGTCCCTGTATTCTCTTGCATGGTGGCTCACCCTGTAGGGCTCAAACTCGCTCTGCAGAGCCTGTTCTTTTTCCTACCTTCAGTAAAACCTTGCTACCATTGTCTTGAGTAATTCTTTGCTTAGGACACACAGAACCTAGAAACCACCTCCAAAGGAGATGCCAGCACCCCAGGGCCTGGCAGGAGCCACACAATTCAAGCCCACCACTGCCTTTTTTTTTTTTTTTTTTTTATTTTAGGGAAGAGTATACAGGGTGTTCAGGGTCTCACTACTAGATCAAACTCATAGTGATCTGCCTGTTAACAGCCTCCCAAGAGCTGGGGTTACGGGCATGCACCACCAGTCTCAGTCTCAATTGCCATCTCAGCGCACCCTGGGGGCGGAGCTAGCATGGCAGGCCCTCAGATCGAACCCTTAGCTCTTTCGCCTGCTTGCAGGTGCTTTAATCCGCTGAGCTATTGGCCAGCCCTCCCACCACTGCTTGAAGAGGCTTCAGGCTTTCTTTCTGTGCTTTCACAAATATTTCTCCCTTCACAAAACCAAAAAATCACATTGCTAATAGTTCGTAACTTTAGACTATCTTGGTACATCTTAGGCATACACCTCATATAAACCATAGAAAGTCCACATCATGTAATAGTTTGTAATTCTTCATGGACGTCAATGAATCTCTGGACTTTGTGTGTGTGATTCTGGAGGTTGAACCCAAGGTCTTGGCTACACCCCCAACTGCTTTCCTATTTTGAAATAAGATCTCCCTAAGTAGCTAAGTTGGTCATGCCCAGACTGAACTTGAACTCCTCCTGCCTCAGCCTATCACAAATCATAGGTATATTCATATAATGACAAATGAAGACTATAAAAAGTCACTCTGCTAAGAACAGTATGTGAAATGTCTCCTTTGTCCATGCCAAGTAAGAGCTGATACAGTATCCTAATTTCATCACCTACCTAGGCGAGTAGATCTTCACATTTTTACTGGCTAGCTGTGCTTTATCAAATGTTCATGTCCTTTGCTGGATTTCAAATCAGGAAACAAGAGTTTGCTTTGTACAAATTTTTATCTTGGGATTGAACACTCATGGATGTTGCAATGTTGTCATAGTCTATTGTTGTTCCATTTTGTTTGTAGTGAGATTTAGAAATATAAATGCTGAAATCCAGTTTAACATTTCATCCATAGTTTTAGGTGAAGTGTGAAGAAAGAAGTCCTTCTCAGGAGAGAGAGGAAGAGATCTGAAATTGGGATTAGCACTGCAGCTGGGATTAGCACTGAACTGGGGTTGCAGTGCAATGGGGACTAGCCTAGAAATCAGGATTAGCGCTGGCACTAGTTGAAATCATCACTGGAATTGGATCAGCACTGGAATTGGGAGTACTGCCAATCAGAATAGCCTTTGATTACAATTTTTTTACCAAATATTTATGGCATTTTTGTTTTAGAAAAAAAAGTCCTGTAATAAATCTTCTTTCATGATGGTCTTTTCATGGCTACCATGATGTTCTAAACACGTTGATTCAAAATATTAATGGTAATTTCCGTTAAACAAAAACACATTAGTGTGTCTGCAACTACATCCTTAACTGGACCTGGCACCTTGAATGTTCTGTGAGTGCTCCAGGTCAAACTGACCAGGGCAGGTAAATACTGTCATCAGCTCAGGCACAGAGAAGCTCAAGTATTCTATCGAAAGATGACAAGTTTTTAGTGGAGTACCATGTTTTAAGAAAACAAGCTGTGGCTTTATAAAATTCTATTCTTACAAAATCAAATGTTGAGAAAGTAAGAGTAATAAAAAATAATCCTTCCGTCATCATTTACTATAAATTTGTATTCCGTAGCATGTTCCCTTATGTCTGAAACACAGAATATGCCAAACTTACATGGCTTGAAAGCTATCCAAGTGCAATCCTAGTATAAAAATGAGCAATTCCTGGGCAGGAAGGAGGAGGAGGGGAAGATGAGAAACAGAGGGCACAGGAGGGAGTAAGTTAAAAATGAAGGTACTGGAAAGAAAGTGACTTTCTGACAATTTCTAGCTGTTGCAGAGTCCTGCTTTGGAGATAGCAGAGTGGCATAAGTGCATGCCTAGCAAACTCAAGGTCCTGAGTTCAATCCCTGGTAAATACACCACCACCACCACCACCACCAAAACTAATAAATGTACCTGAAATGTTTCAGAGTCCTGAGAATGCTTTAAAGGGATCTAGCGACACTTATTATATGAATACAAAAGGCACACATTTAAATATCTCCTACCATTTGTTCTTCAGTTTCATTTTGCTCCTCAGATTTTATTTCTCCCTCTTTATTGAAGACAGAGCCTCTCTCCTGTGCTTTACTCTGTTTCCGTTCCTCCTGGCTGCCTGCTTCTGCTGTGATCTTTGCTTCCTTCTTGAAGAGCTCTACCACTTGGATGCCCTGGACCTGGACCGATGGCGCCCGCATGCTGTGCAGTGGAGTGACGTGATCGTAGTGTGTGTGGAGAAGCCGCAGAGCGATGTCACTTGTTGCTAATATCTTTGGAATTTCAAATGCAGTTCGTGTGTTGGAGAACTTCACATTTTTGTACCTGTTGATAATTCATGGTAACAAAATTAGTTAGGAAGCCCGAGGTGTGTTGCACATGTATCCGTAAGCAATATGTTCCTCCAGTTTTATTTCACTCCAGTTTTGAGTCCCGACCACACCTGTTGGGGGTGCGGTGTTTGGTCCCAGTGGCTGCCAGTTAATCTTTCTCAAAACACTCCCGGAAATACAAGCCCACACACACACTCTTCTCCACCTCCACAGCCCTTTCTGTCGCCTGTGCATGGCCTTCTGCCTAACTACACCTTAATACTGATATTACTCAGGGTTTCCTCCTTCTTCCCCTCAAGGCCCCCTTCAATACACACACACACACACACACACACACACACACACACACACACACTCTGCATGTTATCCTGTCTGTGGCCTCCATTACTGCTTGATTAGCAACGCTTTACATGAGTTTTGTTTTGCCTGAGGAGAGACAGGAAGGGAAGATATTTGTGCGAACATACACAGCTCCTGGTGCTCGAATGAAACCAATTCCAAAATCTTAACTTTGGTTCCTTATTGATGATTACCAAAAAATACACTCCACCTCAGATTTTGCTCAGGCCTTCGGCCAGTTGGGCTCAATTTATGCCCAGCCATGAATTTAGCACCCTTATAACACCCGTCCACTCCATCATCATCAAAGGAAGACCAAACTGGCCCTGCCCCCACCCTGCCAATGGAGTAAGAGACACCACCTAATTCTCTTCTTAGCCCAGAGACTATCGACCTATTTATTTTTAATTCCTTTAAAACTATACAAATTAATTTCCTTCTCTTTTCTCTCTATTGTACAACAAAAGGGCTTATATAAGCTTCTGGTTTAACTATAAGTGGAACTCGGGAAATATTTTGTTCCTTTCAGTTATTTCCTTCATATAAAAAATAAAGTTGATATTTTTCCTGTGTTGTATCACAGCCTCTTCAGAGCTGGGAGCAGAACCTCAGCTTTCTAATTTTTATTCTGCTGAATGTCCTATGAAATTCATTGCCATACTACTTGATTTGAAGTGTTTAAGATCAAGCAGCAACCCAGCGATTAGGAATTTGTCATCATAGTCACTTATAAGGCTTTCCTTTCTTGAAAATGGTTGCGGAAATATCTCTAAGACAATGATACAAAATCTATTTTTTAATTTTAGAGGTAATAAAAACAATGCAGAATTTCAGCACAAGATAGGAAATTCACAATGGTTATTACATTGCAGATTGTTATTTTCAAAGTAGTTGCTCAGATTACCAGATACAGGCAAGTTTTTGTTTGTTTTTTTGTGCAGGGCCTACAGGGTCTCACTACACAGATTGGACTCATAGTGATTGTCCTGTTTTCAGCTTCTTAAGTGCTGGGATTACAGGCTCGAACCACCATGCCCGTTTCAGTCACTGTCTCATTGCCTCCCGGGGGCGGGGCTGGCACAGCAAGCTGGGATCGAACCCTGGCCAGCCGCTACAGTCTGTCTAAGCAGGAGCTTTAATCTGCTGAGCTATTTGGCCAGTTAGGAGCAGTTTCTTTCCCTTTCACAATATCTATTGTGCCTTTTGTACTATTTCAGTGTCTTCCACTAGGTATGATGTTTGAACTTGTGAGTCTGATTTATTTCACTTATGAGAATGGTCTTCAGTTGCGCCCATTTATCTATAAAGCCTCCCACTTATCTTTCTTTATAGCTGAGTAATACACCATTGTAAAAAAAAACATACAGATGAACTAAAACTGGCAGATAAATATGTGAAAAATGTTCAACAGCACTGGTCATCTAATAAATGCAAAGTAAAACAACACTAAGATTCTGTCTCACCCCAGAAAAGAATGGCTATCATCAAACATCAACCAATAACAAATGCTGGTGGGACTGTGGGGGAAAAGGAACCCTTCTCCGCTGTTGGTAGAGTGGAGACTGGTAAAATCCATTATTTTTAAGAGTTCATAAACATAGACAGAATTTTTTTAAATTCTAGATTTCCATGTGGGTCATTTCTACTTTTAGGGTGTAAAAAGGGGCTAAAGTAGGTGAAGAGAATGGGGAAAACCTTTTCACTGTAGTAGATACAGTGAAAAGTGCTTTAACTTTTATGTATATTCATATTTAACCCTCAAACCATTTCCACTATACAATCATGGATGCTCAGCCAGGCTAAATAACTGGCCTAAACTAAATGGCAGGTCTGTAATTCAAACTCCAGGTGGCTGAGACTGTCATAGGTCTCTCCACGTACAGTACATGCTATACAGTAGGCACATGCCTGCCAAAGACGGGGTGACCCTGGTGACACCGAGAAACTATTACCCACAGGCTACCTTGGGTTCTTCTTGAGGTTTGCCCACACATACAGGGTAACATTTTCGTCTTGAATGATTTTTTCCATATTTCCAGTGTCCAGATCTGCCAAAGTACTAGCTTGCTATAAGAGAGAAAAAAAAATTACAAAGGGCCTAAAGCCTATACATTATACTACATAGGCAAGTTATTTCCTCACTTATGTTATTGGATTTCCTTCATTAGCTACTAAAAGAACCACCTGCGTCAAAATAAGTCTCAACCAAAGTGACAGACACTTTTTAAAAGATTCTCTAGAGCATGCAAAACACTCATGTAATTAAATGTGTCTCTCTTTCTACTCAGTTTGCCTTAAGATGTCTAATGATTCAATTTGCTCCTATAGGGCTGGAGCGTATAGAACAGAGGTAGAGCACTTGTATATAGTACACACACATTCCTAGTATTAGTCTGCTTTCTGCTGCTAAAACAAAATGCTGGACATAAAACACCGAACGTCAAAAAGGCTTAATTTGGTTCATGGTTTCAGCGATCTTAACCCATGGTCTACGAGCGTCAAGAGGCACAGGAAAGATACTCAAAGCATGGGAGGTTAAAAGAATCTGAGAGAAAGAAGCCAGAGATTAGATATAGCTCTCCATGACCTTCCCAGACACACCCAGAAATGTGTTTCACTAATCTAAGTGCTTCTTAATCCAGTCAGGTTGATGATCAAGAGTACAGAACCACCATCACCCACCCCCACCCCTCACCCACC